GGGCGGGGCGGGGTGCCGCGGTGCTCCACCCATTGTGCGACCCGGGTTGCGCGCCATTTGGGAGCGAATGGGGCGGAATGGGGGCTCTGCCGTATTGTGGCCGTGCATGCGGACTGACAGTCCTCGCGCAGGCACTCCGTGGCCGCGGCGGGGCTGGCGGGGCTGGCGGGGCTGGCACGCCTGGCGGGGCCGCCGAGGCCGAGGGCGGCGGGGCGCCTCGCCACGCTCCAATCGATAGCGGGGGGCATATTTACGTGCAAGATGCGGTACAGGGAGACTGGGCGGGAATGGGGAAGGGGGGGTCATTACAAGCCAAGGTGGGTGGGCAGGAAGCAAGGCGCGGGGAGAGGAGGGGGTAACGACGGCGGGTTTTAGCACTTTGCATATCCCCGCGTTAGGTGCTTCCAGGACAACCACCCCGTTTGTTTGGAGGGTGCGTCGGCCGCCGCGCCGCCGCCGCAGCGGGGCCGGGCGTGCTTCACGGCCGGCATAACCGCCTTAGCCTTATGACGATGACGGGGGGGAGCTTGATGGCGCCCGGGCGCACCCCACCCGCCACACCAGACCGTAAAGCCCGCTCCGCCTCCCGCGCGCCCGTATTGGCTCGGGCCGGACGGGCACCCGTGAAGGAAATAACAAGAAATGGACACGTAGGCCTCGAAATAAAATCCAACCAAGCAGAGCAGGAAGGAAGAGGAAGGCCTTCTCTGACGGGCGGCGGGCGGCGCGCTCTGGGCGGTGCAGGGGAGGTTTTGCAGCCCTCACCCCTTGCGAAAGGCAAACTTTCATCGCTGCCTCGGCCGTTTCGGGTGAGATTGTGGCCACTTTGCGGCCCTCCGCGGCCCGGAGCCAAGATTTCCAATGCCTCAGCCCCCAGCCGCGGGGGCGGCGCGGGCGGTGCGGAGGCGGCAGTTGAGTAGTTATTAGTTGGGCTGGTCGCCGGGGCGGAGCGAGTTGCAAAGGGGCCGGCGGGGCGGCGGGGGCCGGGTTATGCTGCTGGGCTTTACTCCGGGGAGGCATCATCCCTTCTGCATTGTGCTGGCTCTGTGATCTGGATCACCATCAGCGCAGCGAATAAAAGCAGGTCAACGACGGGCGCCGCGCCGCGCTGTGTGGCGGACAGCAGCCGCCTTCTGATCGGTTTCCTCCGCGGTCGCCTCCTCCCCCGCGCCCGTCCTGACCCCGAGCACGCGGTGCGGCGGCCGGGCAGCGCAGCGCAGCGCCTCCAGATCTGTTTCCTCCGGGCCCCTCTCCACCCCCGCCGCGCCGCGCCGCGCAGCGCCAATGCTCCCCGGGGTCTCATTTCAAAGCGACACTTCCCGGTCGTGCCTTCCCGGCCGCGCCGGACATAACCAGGCGAACTGACGAATAAAACGGCCGAAATCAAAGAAAGAAAAACCAATCCGCAGTTAACCTTTCTTATTGCTCTCTCCTTGCAGCACTGCCACAAGCACGAGGCTCTGCGCGACGAGGTGTACTGCCAGCTCATGAAGCAGACCACCAACAACAAGTCGCAGCAGCCCGAGTCGTGCCAGCGCGGCTGGCGGCTCTTCTCCATCGTAGCGGCCTACTTCGCCTGCTCCGACACCCTCAAGCCCTACCTCTTCAAGTACCTAGAGACGGCGGCGTACGACAAGCGACGAGCCTACCACGGTGAGTGGGGATTATAAAATGCGATTTTTTTTTCAGGAACGATTGTTAACAATCAATTGAAAACTTTTCAAAGATAAAAATTGAAAGACTTCTCAATTTTTTTTAAAAAGAACATTCCCCAAATTATTTTTTTTTTGTGAAATTAAAATCTATAACGGCGACCGTGCGAGGCAGGGGGGCCCACTCGGCATCGCGCCTGCGGTGGGGGCGACGCAGCCGAGCGACGCGCGCGCCGAGCGGGTCGGCCTAACGCGACAGGCGCCCTCGTGCCGCTCGGACAGCGCCGCCGTGCAGGCGGAAAAGTCGCCATTTATTTCTTTGGGAAAGACAGTGGCTTGGTCACGGGCGGGGCGGGGAGGCAAGAGAACTTTGACCCAATGGGACACCGCATGTCGCGTTAGGGGATATTTCATTTCCGGTGCCCGCCAGCTTCGCCAGCTGGGAGTGAAGGCGGCGAGGGTAGGGCGCGGGGGGCAAGCTGCTTCAAAAGGACTACTTTCTTCTCCCTTGTCTGCGCCGCTCGCCGGCAGAAAAGTTTGTGCGGCCGGCGGCCTGGGACAGACGGACGGACAGGATGATGGTCTGTCTAGGGCTCCACCCCCCGCCGCTTCCTGCGGAGCTTTTAACTCCCCGCGCTGCCCGCGCCAGCATCCACCGCTTCCTCTCTTTTTCTTCGGTCTCTATTTCCGGCTGACACAAACGCCTCTGCTGAAAAGTTGCGAATAAGTTAGTAAGGAGGAAAAGGGGGAGGTTGTGCGCAGGGTTTTAGCCATGTCATAAGATAAGCTTGAGGGTGCGGTGCGCGCCCGCGAGGTGGGCAGACTCGCCGCACAGGAGTTGTTGCCCACCTCGCGGCGGTCCCGCCCGCCCCACCACCACACCGGCCCTAACCCTCTGTCTCTCTCCCCCAGGCACCGCCATGGTGTGCCTGCAGAACCTGCGCAAGACGTTCAAGTACGGCGGGCGCAAGAACGTGCCGAGCGTCGAGGAGATCACGGCCATCAGCGCGGGCCGCAACTCGAAGCGCCAGATGTACCGGCTGCCCGGCGGCACGGAGCGCGTCGTCAACACGCGCTCCACCACCGTCGTGCAGGACGTCATCGAGGAGATCTGCGGCGTCATCAACGTCACGTCGCCGCAGGAAATGGAGGAGTTCTCGCTCTACTGCATCGTCGAGGGCGACACGTTCACCATGCCGCTGGCGCGCGAGGAGTACATCCTGGACGTGACGACCGAGCTGCACAAGAACGGCCAGATCTTCTACCTCATCTTCTGCCGCTCCGTCTGGCACTTCCCGCTGCGCCTCGACTCGCACCTCTACATCGAGGTGGTGTTCAACCAGATCGCGCCCGACTACCTGGAGGGCCTGCTGCTCGTCATGCCCGGCGAGACGCTGCAACAGGACACCATCGTAAGTAGTTCGCGACTTTATCTTTAGGGCTGTTCAGAAACCACGTGGACTTGCGGGTGGGATTACAAATATTTTGGGGGCCAAAAGGGAACAGAACGGTCATTTGAGTCCATATAGGGACACCGTGATATTTGTACCCCGGGGTAGAAATATCATCGGGTCGATTGGGTCTTTATATGGACTCGAATGAACGTCCTGACCCTTTTGGGACCCCATAATCTGAACACCGTAATGTGTGCATGATTTCTCTGAACAACCCAATGACTTTTGTTCGCCCATGAAAAACAAAACATCTCCCTCCTTGTTACAGTACGAGATTGCCAAGATGGCGGCGCTGCTGCACCGGGCCGCCGACATGGCGCACGTGCCCGCCATGAAGGAGACCAAGTTCCTGCTGCCCAAGCCCGCCCTAACCGTGCGCGACATCAAGCCCACGCAGTGGGTCAACATGGTGCAGAGCAGCTGGGTGGACGTGCAGGGCCTCGAGACCATCCAGGCCAAGGCGCAGGTTCTTGGTGAGTAACCGAGCCCCACCAGGCCCTGAGCCTGAGCCCTGACGAGCCGCCCACGGCTTGGATCACGCTTATGATTTATTGACACCCCCGTCTCCTGTTCACCCTCTCACAGAGATGCTGAGCCGGTGGCCACTGTTCGGCTCCAGCTTCTTCGCCGTGAAGCGCGTGTCTGACCCGAAGGAGCGCGCCGACCACATCCTCGCCCTCAACCGCCACGGCGTCCATTTCATCGACATCGTGACGCACGTGAGTACTCCACCCCCGTGCCGAACTTTGCGCGCCGAAACAGACCCTAATCTCCCCTTTCCTTTCCGCCTGCAGGAAACGCTGCTGCACCATCCCTTCTCCGAGGTGATCTCCACGCGCAAGGTCAAATCGGAGGACGGCACGCTGTTCCTCGACATGAAGTGCGGCAACTTGATGCAGCAGCGCATCACCCGGCTGCAGACGGATCAGGCGCACGAGATCTCCCGCCTCATCCGGCAGTACATCACCCTGCAGCAGCGGGTGCGCACCTGATGGAGCCGGGACCCCGCGCGGAGCAGCGAGACAGTCATGAGCTATTCTGGTCACTGAGTGTAGAAGTCGTGGGAGGACGACGAGAAGGACTCTAATGTACAATACTTATGCGACTGTATTTTTTTTTAAATTTCTTTTCAATGTTGATAGTTGTAATGTTGAGCTTTGCGCCATTTGGGCCATTGATTTTGTAGATAGGAGGGGAAGAACCACATGGAGAAATGAACTTGTAATGAGAAGGTGAAGTGACGAGATTTTGTGTTGTTCATTCTAATAGCACAGAAATAATATGTGATTTTATGATTTGGCCATTAATAAGATTGGCCTGGCCATGATGTATATGATAATTATATTTACCTTTAGTTTTAGATTCTGGT